CGAGTTGAATGTCAGCCCAATTAAATGCATCTAATAAAAACTTTGCGACTTGGAGAAGGTGAGGTGCAGAGACATTCTCTTCTCAGTGCACGGGAGAGTCTGGATATCAGCTTACCAGGTAGCTGCTTGAGACCTAAATTATAGATAAATGTGTTGGGTGGTAGAAGCTTGTTTTGTGTTACTCAAAGAAGAAATATTCTCAGTGTAGGAACAGAAATGTATTTGGCATATTTTCACTTGGTAATTGCATTATTTTTGTTCTTAATTCTTTGACTTTCTGATTTCTCACAGCACTCAGTGTGAAAATGGATAGGAGCCCACAGACAAAATAATAGATTCTTTAACACACACATGCACACACACATTCATGTGCACCCACACACCGTTGTGTAAAACCAACAAGAAACCGTGGAAATCTGACAGTCTAGACAGAGATTGTTGGAGGGATAACAATGGAAACAACTGCTTTTTTTCCTTAGAGGTTAAAAATAATGTGTTTACTGGAGTTATTTGCATTGGCCATTTCGAAGCTTCCCCAGGATGCCTTGGTTAAGAAAGCTGTGAAAGCCGCAGGAAGCCTTGCCAGGACCTTGTGCAGCTCTGCGATTTCCTAGGCTGATTTCCTGCTGGTTGATGGACAAGAAGATGGAGGTGTCTTGCTGCCTGGGCCTTCTCGGATTCCGAGAAGTGAAAGTCAGGAATTACATGTCCTGCTCTTTGCGGCATCCAGCAGGTCCCTCTTCTAAACTGCACAGCGGCACAGTGTGACATGCCTGCCCGTGGGAGTCTTTCCTCATGAGGCACAGGGGCAGGAACTCCGTGCAGCTGGCCCAGCACAGCCTCCATGAACCCTGCTTCACAGTTCGCAATGTGAAAATAGAGGCGAGGCTGCAGACAAAATAATAAATACTAATGAAGAATTTACCTTTGTGGGAAAACCCCTGTAGTCTTATGAACAGAGAGGGCATTTTGGTTTTCCTCAACCTCTTTACATCCTTACTTATCTAACCTTAGTTTTATAAAGGCCTCCTGTACTTTTGATTTCGACCTCAAGGATGTCAGAATAATTGCAGCTGTGTTTCTTCTCAACTGTCTGTGCTTTCTCTTTTGAGGGAATGTGTTCAAATTCTCTGGTTGTTTGAATAGCTCAGACTTCAGAAATGTCACCATCAAGGAAGTTATTATGTGACAATTGCTAAGAGTTCTCTGGGGGAACAAAACCTACTGAATGATTGTATATCACAAAGGCAACTTGTTAGGTTCGTTTACATGATACTTCTGTGTAGTTCAGCCATGACGGTCTTCACACCAAAGAAGCTGAGAGTCCAGTAGCTGATCAATGCATGAAGCTCGACACCTCTGCGGTCCCAGTCTGGCCCTGAAGTACTGGAGGATGCTGGGAGCATGGAGCATCCTGGGTCTTTGGTCCATACTAAAGCAGCTAAGGTGCATCAGCTGTCAAGGACAGCAGCAGCAGTAGCAGCAATGAGGTGGATTCAGTCAGCAGCAAGAGCGAAGGCAGGCAGGCAAAATCAGCTTCTCTTTTTCCTCAGACCTCGTTGTGTCCCCCCATCAGTCAGTTCTTTCAGGAACTACCCCATAGAACCCCCTCAGAGGTGTCTCTCCTAGTTAATTCCAGATCCAATCAAGTTACCTACAAAGATTAACCATCACAGCGATTAATACTAATATGATCTACGTACCCCAGTTTTTTGATAGTTCAGAGGAACATGGATCTCCATCACTGCATCTGCTAAGGATGGAAGGTGGGAGGCTTGAGAAACACACAGGCGTTTAGGGGGCATACACTATTCTGTGGAGTTCTTCTTTCACGTGTAACCATTGTTTAGGGGTCACGTTTTGGCAAAACTGGGAGGATGGCCTTACATGGAGGTATATTAGCTGTTTGTCTCATTTGAGGATCTTTGATGTCATGTTCACGCTTGGTAGGGTTACCCTGATTGGATAGCTCCCTTAGCCTCTAGCCCATTCACCTGCTGCAGGAGGGGTATATGTGCCCCCGAGGGTACAGACAGGTGGAAAATGGAGCCATGCTGTGTCCCTTTGCTAGATGGACTAAAGTTCTGCGGCAATCAGGTCAGCTTTTCCTGCTAGCACAATAAAAGGGAGTGGAGAGAGCCCTTAGTAGTCAAGGGTCCTCCCCTCAGGAGGCCACCTCCCCACAGGGAGTGACTGTGTCTTTATGTAGGATGTCCCGTTGCTGATTTGTGACTCAAGCAATGAAAAGGTGGCAGTGGCTGCCAGGGAGGGCAATAAGCCCCTGAGAACTTCCTGCAGAGCCACCTGGAGGCCCCTGGCCAGGCTCTGTGGTTAGCAGAGAAGCCGTGGGCCAGGTGTCCAGACATTTGGGTCCTTGATTCTTATGTCAACAGTAGGAACCGTATGGTGTTGAGTTAATTGGTTGCCACGAGTGTATTTCATCACCTCAGTAAAATGACAAGATTGGACACCTGTCTGTAACTTTTTAGGTTCTTAAAACTCGCATTTCATGGATTTTAGTTAACTCTTAATGCGTTGGCTCAGGACCAGTCTTGACTATCTATTATTCCACCAGTATGAAAGTAGAACCCAAAAGCACTTGGGTCATGTATTTTTCTGTTCACTCATACAGTATGTATAAAGACCGAAGGAGAGCCAGCCAGTTCTTACTGTAGTGATTCTAATGACCTTTGACCTTCCGCACTGTTTATAGTAGAGGTCCATGTGGTTTGTTGTTGTTTTGAAGGATGAGATATTTAATCTGAAACTAAGGCAGTAGTTTGCAATAAGTTATCCTTGTTGCTGGGGTTGATGGTGACCACTTGAGGTTTGGTAAAAAAAAAAAAGCGCCCCCACTCTAGAAGCCATCGGGGAAATGAGGATTTCAGGATGGACAGAAAATGTAGGAATCAACCGAGAAAAGGGAAATGATGGCAAATGGCAGGGAGCCAGACTGGCTTTACCTGAGGAGATACAGTTTTAGCAGCTTTCTTTTAAAAAAAATTCCATTTGATGTTTCACGTTTTCTTGATAAGTTAATAAAGGACCTGGGTAAGGAGTTGCAGAACGTTCACCTAGGGAGAGAACTCGTCGTTTGTGGCAGCTCCTCTCTGAAGGGCAAGGGAAGATCAGTGGGTTCGCCTGTAGCTCCTTGTGTAGTTACCATTCTGAAAGCAAACAGCGTGCTCTGGGGTCGTAGCTAAGCGCCAGGAGGAATTTGGCGCAGTCTCCAAACACTGGTGGAAGTCTGCTGGGGACCAGACTCCCTGCTAGACTCCAAGTGGGGTATGTAGGTGAGGGGACACAGTCCTGCCCCGAAGGAGCACCCCTCTAAAGGGAAGCTGGTGATAGTCTCAGCAAAGCTCTAAAATGCCCTGGAATCTGGCCACCAGCTGTCACCTGAAGGGACCACTGCCACCTCACCCCGAGCTTCAGTCCCTGAGGTTGTCTGTCTTGCTCTTACAACCGCAGCTGTTTCCCGTGATGCAGCAGGAGCGACCATCCCTGGCATCACAAGCCACAAGGCCTGTGCCCGTGTCCTCCTGCAGCTTCCAGGCCACAGCTTGTCACTGATGTGCATGTGACATCCTAACTCACTCAAATCGTCCTCATCCTTGCAAGCAGACCCTGCCCCTCAGACCTCTATTCTCTGCTGCACACCCCAGCACTCGGTGCATCTTACATGCCGGCCCCTTAGAAACTAGCTTCTTTGGACGCTGCAGAATCACAGTGGTTCTTTCTCTGCATGCCTGGACTGCTCTCCTAGCTTCCCCAACTCTTTTATGTCTTTGCTCAAAAGTCACCATCTCAGTGAGGGACTCTGCCACCTTTTCTAACGTTGTAACGTGCCTCCTATCTATGGCTCGTGATCCTCTTTGTGACAGTCTACGTTTTTCCCACTGCACTAACCGCCCTCCTGCCCACAGCACCGTCTACTAAGAGTAGTCTAGTATCAGTCTTCCTCTGCTGACAAGAAAGCTCTGGTAAGGCAGGACTGTTATTTTGTTAAATGTTGTCCGGTTTAGAATAGTCTAGAATAATGTCTGGCACACACTAAGTACAGTGTAATTATTTATTGAATGGATGAGTAAGAAGGAGAGACTAATTCTGTAAGGAAAGAACCTTTGGAGCTCGGCGTGAAGGATGATGGGTGGACTTTGACCACCAACTTTTCTGGGAAAAGGGCCTTCCGGATGAATGTCACAGAGGTGAGATGTGGAGTTCCACCTGCCTGGTGTGGGGGCAGGGCCACAGTAATGGATAGAAAATAGCTCCTAAGAACTCTTAGAGGCATAAAGAAACAGCTTCCTAGTCACTGCCCTGAAGTTCATGATCGAAGTGGGAACGCTGCCACGCCAGTGGCATGCACACCCTGGATGCACACCTCACTCGGGAAGGCACTAATGCAAGCAGTGTTTGCGAGTGAGATCTGATTTAATGGAGCACTTTCTGTTTTCACAACATGGTCACGTGCTTATTGGAACTTAAGCTTCTTCACAACTGACCGAGAGAGTGTGGCAGGTAGTGATTACATGTTCAGGGGCGCTTTCTTAAAAACTGGATTGCATCTTACACTGGAGGCAATGGAGCCTCAAACCATCTAGATGATCTGCCTGAGATCACTGGGCTAGGACAGGCAGGGGTGGGGAGGGTGGGACGAGACCGGCTGCTCCCCAGTGCTGACACTATCCGAAGGGTAATTGCTTGGTGTTTGCAAGCCTTTGGGTTTATTTTGTTTTCCCATTCGTGAAAAGCAGTGGGGTTTTCATTGAGGCACTTCTTTGCTGGTTGTGTTTTCCTCTTTCTGTTGGGTTCAGCTCGTACCAAATCACTGCTGGAAAGAAACGCTGGCGTTTCTGTCTTTGCCTGTTGAGCGTGCTTGCCTTGAATGGGCTCTTGGCGATGCTGGCTTCTGTGCGGTTCTTGGGTAGAAGGGAAGAGAGTGCATGCCGCCACCCCCCTGTGACTGTCTCATAACCTGGTCTTCTTGAATCCCCCAGATGTTAGTAGGCAGGACGAGGCGGAGGGCGAGTTCAGCGAAGGAGAACACTGGTATGGGAACTCCTCTGAGACTCCATCAGAAGCATCCTATGGGGAAGTCCAGGAGAACTATGCGCTATCCCTGGAGGACCGGATCCAAGAGCAGTCCACATCCCCCGACACCTCCCTGGGCAGTGCCACCCCCAGCAGCCACACGCTGGAACTGGTAGCTCTTGACGGTGAGGTCCTTCGAGACTCACTGCAGTGTCAAGACCACCTTTCGCCTGGAGTGTCTTCTGTGTGTGACGATGACCCACCTAGCTCGAATAAACCTCTGAGCAGCAACTTGAGGCGGCTGCTGGAGGCCGGCTCCCTTAAACTTGATGCCACAGCCAATGGCAGGGTAGAGTCCCCCGTGAATGTTGGCTCCAGTCTGTCATTTTCCCCGCCTTCCCACCATGCCCAGCAACTCAGTGTCCTGGCCAGGAAGCTGGCCGAGAAGCAGGATCAGAGTGACCAATATACCCCCAGTAACCGTTTCATATGGAACCAAGGTAAGTGGTTGCCGAACTCAACCACCACCTGCGGCCTGTCCCCAGATTCGGCCATCCTCAAACTGAAAGCGGCAGCCAATGCTGTTCTGCAGGACAAGTCCCTGTCCCGGACAGAGGAGAGCCTGAGGTTTGAGTCCTTTTCCTCCCCCTTCAGCTCCCAGTCTGCTAGCTCCACCTTGGCAGCTTTGTCTAAGAAAGTGAGCGAGAGAAGTCTGACCCCTGGTCAGGAGCACCCACCTCCAGCCAGCTCTTTCCTGTCACTGGCCTCCATGACGTCCTCTGCGGCCCTTCTGAAAGAGGTGGCCGCCAGGGCCGCGGGGAGCCTCCTGGCTGAGAAGTCGTCCTTGTTGCCCGATGACCCTCTACCACTGCCGCCTTCTGAGAAGAAGCCAGAAAAAGTCACCCCGCCACCACCACCTCCTCCGCCCGCGCAGCCTCAATCCTTGGAATTATTGTTACTTCCGGTTTCCAAGGGAAGAGTCTCCAAGCCCTCCAATTCAGGTATGGAATCTTGTTCGGCCATGGCGCGGGTCTCCCCCTCCAAGCCGAGATAGAGTCAAAAAGCAGGAACACAGCAAAACAGTTAAAATGGGCAGTGTAATAGTCTTTCATGTGCATGCTGCAGAAACAGCTGTGGGTTTGAAAAGTAATGAATAATCTCAGCGGTGTGCTGGACTCCCTCCCTTTCATGCACCTCCCCCACCCCTCACCAAGTGCAGACGAGGTCCACACCAGATACATTTAATGGGGGAAGCTCAAAGCGCCCTGTCAGAGTGCAGGGCGTCAGTGAACACAGGGGAAACGCTGCTTTTGAGATAGTGGCCAAGGGAAGGTCCTGCTGCCTCTGTCACAAATGGGACTTTTGCATAATCGGTGACCACCCTGCCCTAATTGATCACAACACACGCCCTTACGTTAGTGTTTTTATTATGTTTTTGTGGAACTTAAGTTTTGTTCACCTATCCTATTCACCTGTAATTTCTTGTCAAACGGGATGCTAGAATGTCTTGCATCTGCTTCACTTTGGTCAAACCCATTCAGATATGAAAGGCTGCGTGTGTGGCAGTGTAGGACGGGTCTTTTCCCCGAGACATCACTATCCCATAGCTCCCTGGCACTCACTACCGCGCCACCATAGCCCGCGCCACCATAGCCCGCAATGACTGCATTTGTGATCAATGCTGGTTCCCAGGATGGCGTAGTTTCAGGTGTTTCTCAAGGCTGTCCTTGAGATGAAATGGGGAAAGGGCCAAAACGAGGCTTCGAAGAGGAGGCTGGGTAATTATTTTCTGATAGGATAAATCACTTCTGACCCAGAGTCATCATCTAGCTTAGGGCTATAAGACTGCCTATAAGCTATGTTACTGGGTTCCTTTCTGTCTAGGCGGTGGGTTTCTGAGTGATGTCTGTATTACTTAGTTAACTGACTGACAAAGCCAGTCTCCTGAAGGTATACCTTCATTATTTTAAACTGGTCTTGGCTATAAAAGTCAAGAATTGTGAAAGAAAACTTTTTTACTCAAATAATAGATGAATTTAGAAATGAGAACGAAGTCGTGAGTATCTGGTGCAAAGTCGGCTTTGTTTGCTTTGCTGCAGGATGTGTCTCCATGGAGAGAAGATATGCTCCCCTCTGGTTTAAATGTGCTTAGCTTCGCCAACATTTCTATGGACTCTGTACTAGAATTTAATGAGGGAGACTTGGAAGAGACATTTACTATTTCAGTCAATGAAGGTTCAGAAGTTACACTGGAGAGGTAGAGGCAGAAGGGTCAGAAGTCCAAGGTCATCCTTGGCTACGGTGAGGAGTTTGAGATTAGCCTGGACTACAGGAGATTCTACAGCAGGGGGAACAAAAGAAAAGCTTCCCAAAACAAACAACTACCACCCCACCCCCAAGCTCTGCAGAAAGATCACAAAATCACACACCACCCTGATTTCAAGAAGGATTTTTTTTAAAGCTGTTTCTCAAAATGTTACAAAAAGGGCATATAAAGTTGTCTCTGTTCTAAAGAGTTCCAAAGAACTGTGTGCTAGGGAAGCTGATCCTGTCTCAAGTAATTTAGACACCAGACATTGCTTTGACCTTCTTAAGGTCATGGAGTCCAGATCATGAAAAAATAGTGTCTTTTAGGTCTGGCTTTCTTCTTTCTTCTTCCTTTTTTTTTTTTTTTCTTAGCAGGATTCTGTTGTTGCCAGGTCGTGATGTGTTGAATTTCTTGAGAGTCCAGCACTCAGTAGCCTTTCCGCCCCTCCAGAGAGATGTGACACTCGAGTGGGAGGCTTCTTTCATGTGACCTGCGCCCCCAGCACATGCTACACGGCTCCTCTGAAAGGGGACACGCTAGAGGGAAGATGATGTCCGCTTGCTATAAAGATAAATGTCACACATTGACTCAATTCTCTTTGAAGCCACTGTTCTCTTGCAGCTCAGAATAAAATAAATGGTTTTGATTTTCAAGACCAAATTTCTTGTAGAAAGCCAAAAGGAGTCCCAGGATGCCAGGCTCCTGCTTAACGGAATAACAGATAGTGTTTCAGAGAGAGGGTCTCCAAAGCATCATCTTGTCCTGACTAAAATTTACATAGACTTCAAAGCAACCTCGCCCCAAGAAGCTGACAGCTAAGGCTCTTCGCAGGATCAGTCCATGAGGATTTTCCGGACTGCTGTTTCCTTTTGTCTTTATTGGGGTGTTATTAAAATTAGTACAGATGCCTAGAAAGTCCAAGGGAAGAGAAGCCCTCTTCCCACCCCTCTTCCCACCCTCCCATCAGATCCACAACTGTTTCAGTCTCAATCCAGAATGATGACATACACAGACTTGCTTAGGAAACTCCATGTTTAAAAGAATCAAATCTGTTGCTGATTTCGGATGTTTTCGGAGAGATTTAAATGTAACATGGCTGTGGCTATCAGACTTCTATCTTAGTTGTGTTCAATGCTTGTTAAAACATGAATTGATAATGTCACATCCGTAACGGTCTTGCTAGCTATTGCTGTTTCCACCCACACCTCTTGTCCGTTGAAATGGCATTTGAGAGACATGCCCAAGACATTTCATTACAAGAATTAAAGTCTGGGCTGAGGAGTCTAGTGAGGTTGGTAGAGTGCTGGACTCCATGCATGAAGCCCGGGGTTTGAAGCCTGGCATACACTAACTGGGTGCAATACGGGGTAACTGTAAAGACAGCACTGTGGAGGTAGAGGCAGGAGGGTCAGAAGTTCAGTCTCCTTCAGCTGTAGAACAAGTCTGCAGGCAGCTGGAGCTATAGGAGACTGTCTCACAAAACAAATCAACCTCAAGCAATAGAAAAAATGATTTTAAAAATCTACATATTGTTAGAAAGGTAGATTCATCATATATATGTATGCACCAAGGTCATAGGTCTGACGTGTTGGTGACAATGGATGTACATGGATTGTGTGCATTGAGGGTCCCCTGGCATCTGTGAGCACCGTTTATGTGCATGGTAAGGGGCTATGTGCACATCAATTGCAAATTATCTTGACGACCAACACAGTTCCAGCATAGGATCTAACCACAAGTGTTTAATTTCAAACCTATAAAAAAAAAACTTGAATTTGTTTTTACTAATACTTGAAATAATAAAACCTTCCATGATTTATTATTGTTATTATTATTTAGCTCTGTGCAGTTGTGCTTTTATTGACTTGTGGATTGATATGTAGACAACGGGATAGAACACCGAACTGGAAATTTAAGAGGTGGACTCTGATCTCAGCCCTGTCTCTACATGACTGTTCTTCAAGTTCCCGCCCAGTTCAATTCCATCATCTGCAAACCAAGATGTTTAGCATTGTCCTGGGATCCCTTGCTGCTGTAATATCCCTGTGTTTGCTTACTGCTCATTTTCTAGCTGTCTCCACTAACTCTCTAACAAGTTATTATCTCCTTCCTCTTCCTCTTCTTCTGAATTAAATACATGTCTTCTTTCCTTCAGAGCTTTCCGTCAGATCTCCACTAGGGTAGCCTCTGCTTTCATTATGATAGTTTTGGGTGTCTCACTCGACTTTACCAGTGATGTAGGTTTCATATAAGCCGCCCTGAATTTGCTTTTGGAAGTAGCTAAGGTGTAAATGCACGAACACATATCTGCTTATCCATCCATCCATCCATTCATCCAGGACCATTTCTGGTCGCACCCTGTGGGAGTCATGCCCTTGTGGCTCCGTGCTGGCCCCATCAGAGCTTACCTGCAGACTGTCCCATCCCCTTCTAGTGCCAACACTCATTTATTCATTTCTCACCCCTGTCTCAGCCCAGCCCTTTTCGCTTAGCTTCATCACAGGCCAGCACAATTACTGAGTCATGTGTTGAAGCTGGCACTGTCTGGAGCTTTGGCCACACACAGGTAGGATGCCCCAGCCATGTTCCCACTTCCTCCTCCTCTTTCCCCTTTCTCCTACTCCTCTCTCCCTTCCACCTTTTTTCCCCTATAGAGCCGTATTTGATCATCTAAAGCTTGTCTAGGCTGAGCTGCATAGTGGGCTCTTGGTCCCACGTTAAGCCAGGTTCCGAGCTGCGGGTTCCCAGGTGTTATGTGCATCTGCGACCGGAAGGGTGTGCCCATCGTCATCCCCCACAGTACAGCCTCCCAGTACTGAGTTCTTCCACTGACTGAGGGTGTTTTCTCCCTCACTGTTATTGTCTGTAAAGCAAGCATGTTTTCTCCAGCTGAGCGCAGTAGCAGCTCTCTGTGCCCCTGGTCTGTTAGCATCCGGCTGCATGGAATTTTGTTTGCAGTGATGTATTTGAGGGGACATGTTCACTACAAACGAGGTAAGATCATGAACATTGCAGTCTTGGTGCTTCCAAAATACAGGGTTCATCCCGGGAAGTGGTCATATTTCCCAGACTTTATTTAAATCTGAGCAAAAGCTACAGCAAATTGTTTGCCATATGAGAGAAACTGCATTCTTCCTCCCATCTCTTGTCATTACCAGTGTGGTGTACACATGGGATGTCTCCTAAAATGTGAAACTTCTTCCTTGCATAAATGAAAAATGCAAATGTCACCAGGAGCTGCTTGCTGGCACAGTCTGAAAATCTCTCAGTTCATTCTGGTTCCTTTTTCCATTTGGCTCTATCTTCCTTTCCTTCCACGGTAGTTTAAAATCCCAAGCAGAGAGCTGGGGAGGTGGGTCAGTTATAGAGACGGCTGCACAAGTGTGAGGTCCTGAGTTTGGTCTCCAAGAACCCATATGAAAGTATGCCCAGTGCTGGAATGGCTGAGACAGGCAGATCCCGAGAGTCATGGTCAGCTGCCCTATCGATTGGGCTAGATCCAGGTTCAGGGAGAGACCTAGTATCAAGAAAATAAGGTGGAGAGTGATGGAGGCAAACACCTGACATTGAGATGTGGCCTCCACAAGCATGTTCACACATGACTGCACACACACATATAGACACACAAAATCCCATATTGTTATGAGTATAGTTATATTTCAGTCGGTGTCTTCTCATTATCATATTTTCCTCTAGTCTGTCCAAGGACACCCTAATTTATACACAATTCATGTGTTTTTTGGTACTAATTAAAACTAAAGCAGCATAGTTCCAAGATGAAATAAGTGGATTTATACGAAGTACTAATATGCAGGGTTTATTATATTTGTGCATTATTTATTTATGGAATCAACTGACTTTCTAAATGCCAAGGCGACTAAATGGATGGTACCAGAAAGATTCCAGAGTAAAAAAAATATCTCACACACAGTACACTTGAAGCTACAGAATTAAGGTGGTGCTGGGGGAGGTAACTGAGACCAGAGGAGCCGCAGATCGTGGAGTGAGACAAGGTGCTGGGGACTCTGCGATCTGGCAGGGTTCTCGGTGCCTTCCTCTCGTGTGCCATGAAGTTGCTGGCCTGTGGAGGAGGTCTCAGCTTTTCTTTCCCTTCCTATGCTCATTCTGTGAGATTCATTTCTGGTTGCAGTCATGGGAAGCACTCCCGTAAGATAGGGACCTGTCATGGCCTGTGTGTGCATGTCCTGCATATTACTGCAATGTTCTTCTGGCCCAGAGTAGACATCACTACCATTTTCTCTTTTCGCTGTATGACAACAGTCTCACCTAGAGGCCTGGTCCAGGTCTTTCTCAACAATCTGTTCAATATACAGGCTTTGGGGACCAAGATACCAGGATGGAGGAAACAACAGCAGAGAGAGGTGATTCAAAATTGGGGATGGGATGAGATCAGCCCAGATAGTCATCACAGACAGAGGGAAGCTGTGGGCTTTCATGAGTGACACATATAGGCCTGGCCGAGGTGTTTTTCTCAGAGTAGGACCAGCACCCAGCCTCCACACCAACCAGCAGCAGAAGCTGACTTTCCAGTGTCGAGTCAGATGCCATTGCTAGTTGCTTGGTTAACCAACCAGTGTTACTTTTACTTGTATTAGCAAACTTGCATTTTTTTTTTAATCCCCTACCCTTATTTCAGAGCCTTTCTGAAAGCCATCCCTTTTAAGTGGCTCTCGGCATGTAGAAACAGAGTTGACTCAATGAATAAATAATGAGATTATCTTAAAGTATGCACTTGGGGATGTTTCCGTTAAAAATCACAGAAGTGATGTTTGCATTTAAATTCAGATAGTGTAGAAAGATGGGAAGGGACACATGCGCCCCACATGCACCCCAACTCCTTTCTCGTAGCCACTGTCCAACTGTTGTTGCTGTTTAGAGGTGTCTGGGTGGTGCGTCTACAACATTCTCACGCAGTAAAAAGATGGCCTTTTTGTTGTTGTTGTTGTTGTCGTTAGCTTTTTGTGATCACGATTTTCTTCTAGCTTCCCTGTTTTCCATTTTGCTCTAGTATTTCAAAGCAGATGAAACATCATATCTGTTTGCTTGTAAATACTCGCAGAGTAGCTACAGTAGGGGAAACCAACGCCGTTCCACTGTCCCATCTAACAGAAGTGACCATTGCTGCAGCGCGGTAGCGAGCGCCACCTCTCCGATTCCCTTTCTGATCTCAGAAATGGTTCTTACCAGAGTCTAGGATCCAAATAAGTGTCACGCTTTCCATTTGTTTTTGTGCATCCCTTTTTGCTTTCTTTTTAACCATAATCCCTTCCCATTTGTGTGTGTGTATATGCTCATGAAAAACTATAGGAGCATGCCAAGGCCAGAGGGCTCTGCTGCATGTCTTCTGATATGCCATCTATGAATTATTGTCATAAAATGTAATCAAGCCTCAAACAGCAGTTTGTCAGAAATAGAAGTAATAATAATAATTTTTAAAAAACCAAACATGAGATGGGGATGCGATCAGCCATAGAGCATAGGGGATTCCTTAGGACAAATGACCCAGGTTTTTTTTTTTCAGCATAAATGGCAGTGAAGACAGAGGCTTCACTCGGTAAAATGTTTGCCTTTTAAGTATGAGGACCCAAGTTATAAGAAAGCCAGGCTTGGCAGTGCACACCCATAATCCCGTTGCTGGAAGAGCAGAGACAGGAAGATCCCTGGTGCTCACTGAATAGTCAGTCGGGACAGTGAGTTTCAGATAAGTAAAAAGTACAAAGAAATTGGGGGTGTATCTCAATTGAGAAAGGAGGTCTTGGTTCAACCCCAAGGCCACACACACACACACACACACACACACACACACACACACCTGCACACACACTAGCAGGCACACACATATAGACACACACACACACACACACACACACTTTCAACTGCATCAGTTTTTACTCCCCACAACCTTCAATTGTAGATGGTCTGTGATGGATCAGAAATTCAGTAGTAGTGTCTCAATAGAGACACTTCCTTGTGGGGATGGTGCAGGAGACAGAGCCGAGCTGCACTTGGAGAAAGCAGTTGGTTTGTTTGCTTCCCTGAAAATTGAAAGTATTTGTCCTGGCCTGGTGTGTCCCCTTCTACAGAGGTAGCCAGGACCCGTGCAGATCAGAGAAAGTCCGTACACATTGTTGGAGGCAAGCGGAGGGACAGGCATAAGAGGATAAAAAAAAGAAAAAAAGAAAGAAAAAGTACAAAAACCCTGACCTGAGGACCCCCTGACAACTAAATTGGCAACCGCCTCTGTCTGCATGAGCCACAGCTAAACAAGTCAGCAGTGTGGAGCTGAGATTTGTCTCCACTGGAGGCCAGCGTGTGAGGTTTCTGCCAGTTGTTTGGTTTGCTGTGTGAACGTGTATTATTCTCTGTCCCATGCGCTTGCTCTCTTTCTCACTCATTTCCAAGAGGGAATTCAGATCTAGACTCAGACTTCTCTGGCTCTGGGTGTGTTGGGGGCCAGAGCCAGCTTCTCTGCAGATGTCCTGTCCGTATATGGCAGCCTTTGGGAGTAAAGATGTCACAGGCAAGATGAACAGCGGTGGCCAGATGGAATCCTATGGAAGCGACTAGCTGAATATGGGTTTCTCCCTAAAGAAAAGTGGCTTTAAAACTTTCCCAATGCTTCTAATCATAGAATCGCCAAACAGGGTAATGCCAGAGTCATTTTTAGTGCTTTTTAATATAGTGGTACATGCCTGTTGCTGTCAGATGCAATGTGCCTTTTTGTTTTCCTTAATTTTGCTTTTTTTCCCTCCCTCTTCCAAGTCCCAGAAGAAGAGAGCGGGAAGCCTTTCCAGTGTCCAATATGCGGCTTGGTTATAAAAAGGAAGAGTTACTGGAAGCGGCATATGGTGATACACACAGGTTTAAAGAGCCATCAGTGTCCGCTCTGTCCATTCCGCTGTGCTCGCAAGGACAATCTCAAATCCCACATGAAGGTAAGGTGTTTGTGGATGGGGATGGCGGCCACTTCCTGTGGTGGAGCAGGTCCAAGACTAGCACTGGGGTGTGAGGAGAATGGAGAGATGGAACACAAACAATAAAAACTCAGGGACAGAAACTGGGGTTCAACCTGAAGGTCAGAAAAGAGAACAGCCAAGCCGCTGGCTCTTACCTTGATCTCGGTCCGAAAATGGGGACCCTGCCTCCAGGAAACCTCAGAATGAGAATGTGTCTGAGAGCTGTCTCCTCCCATTTTATAATCCTCTCTAGTTCTGGGATTAAGGGCCTGCACCACTACTGCCTGGTTTCTGTGGCAAGCTAGTGTGATTACTGGGACTAAAGGTGTGTGTCATTGCCACCTGGTCTGTAAGGCTGGCCAGCGTGGCTGTTTCACTTTTCTGATCTTCAGGCAAGCTTTATTTATTAAAATACAAATGAAATGCCACCACAGAGAGGTTCTTCCTCCCGGAGGACCCTTGGTCTTAGGATCAGGTTCTTGAGACCGCCAGTGTTTGAGCTAGCACATCTTGGGGTGACACCAAACTTCCAAGGACATTTTTTTTCTTTTTCTTTTCCTTTTTTTTTTTTCAAGACAAGGTTTTTATGTGTAGCCCTGTCTGTCCTGGAACTCACACTGAAGATCAGGCTGGCCTCAAACTCAGAGATCTGCTTGTCTCTGCCTCCCGAATGCTGGGATTAAAGGCGTGCACCACCTGGCATTCATCGTTTTCAATGTCCTATTAAAAACAGTTATGAGGTCTGGGGAGGGCTCGGCAGTTAATCACCTGACAGGTTAGCATGAGACCAAGTTCCAGTCCTCAGAAACCACTGTAAGTGGTGGGTAGAGGGTAGCTTATTCCTTGTAGTCCTACCCTCAAAAGACGACGACAGACTTTTCCAGAACTAGCTGGATAGGTAAGACCAGCCATATTAGTTCTCTGGTGTGATTGAAGAACTTGCTTCAGTGAATAAGGCAGGTGAGTGGCTGAGGATCCTGACCTCAGTCTAGGGCTTCTACCTGCAAGTGTACCCACGTGCACATGTGTGTGTAAACATGTGCGTGTGCACCCATACACACATACACACACGAACACCACACACACAAAACACAGAAAACAGAACTGATTGGGAAGCTCATACCTGTCATATTCTTGAAGAGAACTGACTAGAATCCGTGCTCAGAAATGAGGGGAAATAGGCAAGATACAAGTAGCTCTTTTATACTGAGGCTTTCTTACCGCTTCGGGGATGGGAAGAGGGGCACTCATGAGGTCACAAGAGCTTGAAGCCTTGAATTTGACAAAGACCTGAACTGAAATCCTCCCAGCACTGTGCTGGCCAAATAGGCCTGGGCAAGTCACCGCCAGGCTCTCAGTTTTCCCTTCTATGAAATGGGAGGAGCAGATACAGCAGCTGTCCTTAGTTCAAGGAGACAGCCACAGCAAAGTGCCTGGCCTTAGGTGTTTGGAATCATCACCTGGCGTCTTGTTACTGTACCGATAACTCCGGTGTGACTTAGACATGCCGTCATGTGTAAGGTGTTCCTTCTCTGGGTAAGTCTAATGGGTGGGTTTTTTTTTTTATGTCGAAGCCTTGCATTTGAATCTTTCTGCATGCATCAGCCATTGCTCAGAACTGAAGTCTGGGAAGTGCAGGCACACAAAATTTCTGTTCGCTACAGCAAATGGCTTAGCAGATTTTTTTAAAAAGTAAACCCATGATGTAATTTGTTTTCTATCATTTGCCTTTTTCTCCTGGGGTCAGCAGCTAGCCCTGTATCTTCAGAATTCATTTAAGTAGTTCTGGTTGACTGAATTATTTACGGAGGCTACTTAGTTATTATTGAAGCCCTCCTCTTCCCCGCTCTCCTCCTCCCTAGGTAAAGCCTTACACTTTAAACCTGTAGCATCGAGACTTCAAAAGGAAGCCCTTTTAAACTTAGAACCTGCTTTAGTGACTGGATCCTAAGCTGTGTTTAAAAATCAGGTCTGGTGAATTTCAAGCTTCAGCGAGCAGAAAACTTGCATCTACCCTGACACCTTGTAAACTTGGTTTCAGCTCAGGGTCACTTAAAACAACCTATTTATAAACCCATGGAAAAAGGCTGGGTTTCAATAGCAGGCACTGCTGACCCCGATGGCACAGGGAGATGAGCTGGAGCCTTGATGACAGAGGCAGACAGCCGTGGCAGTGCCGCAGATGAGAGCTGCCCGGGCTCGGCGGGTCGTGGGGTCCTGAATGCTTTCAGAACAAATCAATAACCACTACAATAAAGCGGTTGTGTGAAATCGCTTCTTTATTCAAACTCATGGTGTCCTAACCTGTTGAGCTACGACTCCTTTTGATAGGAACTGTGAGGAGCGTTTATGCAAATTTAATTTTATCAAAGGCATATTTCTTCTCCCTTCTCCTGTTGCCTTAAAACATTTTTTAATAGAATATAATTTAACTTTGCAAAATTTGGCAAGTATTTTCCCCATAGGAATGTTGTGGTGTGGTCTTATGCACACACATATTCTGCTTTCTTTACCGGGGCTGCAGATGTGGGGAATTTTTCTAAAATGAATTTTATCTGAGAAGTAGGGAAGTCTAGCCAAAGGTTAAGATATGACTTTAGCTTAGTGAGAGTCCATGACTTAAGACTTGTAACCATTTAGTAGTATGGTTGAGACCCTCTAAACCTCTGTTGCCACGAACGGAGAGCACAAACACGGTCTTTCTCACTGCATAAGAGTTAAGTGAGATCGTTCATGTAGAGCCTTGATCTAGAGCCCGGTGTGGGGAAGCAACTGTCGGTAAATATAGCCAACATGGTTAGAGTTATCCAAAAGCCGTCTGAAAATACATTAACGTTTACGTTTAGGGAAAATGAATGAAATGCTACAAGAAATTACTCCAAAATATGTTTTATGGCTTCCTTCTTTTTATGATCTCTCTCTTTAGTACTGAGAATTTACAAAAACTGATACAAAGAAAATGAAATTGGCCATTTATCTCATCCCACAGAAGTAGCCATTATCTTCAGGATATATAATCTCCTATATTGATTATATTGGTTTATGTCAGAAAAACAGAGATTCCACTTTATTTGCTCAACAAATCCAGTACTTATTGTGTTCCTAGGTGGGCCTAGGAACTATATACATATATAAATTTGCAAGCCTGCATTTTCTCCATAGTTTACTGTGCAAACGTCTTTATGACCAGCTGCATGAGGAATTTGAAAATGCCTCCAGCTTCCTCGGGGTGCCTTAGATCTCATGAGGTCTGCTGCAGCTTTGCCCGATGAGCGAGCATGCAAGAACCATATGTAAGGGTCACGGCTGAAACTGCCTGGCAAAGGCAAAGAGCAGTAAAGATGGAGACCACCAACAAAGCAACAGAAGGGACCTGGACCAGTGGCCACACTCGAGTTCTGCCCTTCCGAGTCCGAGGTCACCTATTTGAGAGCGGGGACCACTCATAAGACCCTCACCTGCCGAGCCTGGTCCACTAAGAGCTTGGGTATAGCTACTCTCTGGAATTTCTCCAAGTCTTGAAATACTTTAACCTAAGTATCCACATCTATTTACCCAGGAGGTGGCCTTGATATCACTTCACCTGGCCCAGTGAGAATACTGTGCTATGGGCCAGCATTTCTTCTCGCTAGAGGTCCAAGAGGGACTTCAGAGCACGCGTTGGGATAAAGGGAATCAGAATGATAACAGAAAAGCCCTCTTCTTTCAGAAGAAGAGGGGTTTGCTGCCACGGGTAGGGACAGTACTTCCCTCAAAGGCTATGTGTAAGCCAAATTTCAGATGGGAAGGCGTGTCTCGGATAAATTAACAGGTGCCAAAGTGGAGCCAATCCTGTTTTCCCTTTCATTTCACACTGATTTCCCTAAAGCTAAGTACGCCAAGGCCAGGTTGAAGTGGGAAAGGAGCCTCAAGAAATCTTCCATACAGCGCCCCTTCTCAGCGTTTCCCTCGCCCCTTGGTTTCGGAACCCCGGGCTCTCATCTGCGCCATTTCTTCTTCCATGGCTTTTGGAGCGTCTGTTCTTGGATTAGCTCCTCTCTGGGGTCAGTAGATGTGAGCACACTTCTGAAATGGAATCTGCCCTGTGGCGCCAGGCTCAGGGATGTGGAAGCTTCCTGCCTGGTGACCTTTACCACCTGGCTCTGGGCATGCCTGCATTGTTACCTGCAGGAGCCCTTGAGACTGTGACCTGAGACCTCCAAGGGGCTTCTTCCTAAGTAACCTGGGCTGAGGAGCTGATGCGAAGTTTCTGGATCCTGTGAGAACGGGACTGGAAGGCTCAGTGTGCAATGAAGAAGGGGAAGGGGCCCTACTGCAGGAAGGAGAAGTGGGTTCACCTCTGCCCTCTGCTGGGGCACGGGAGACGCCTTTCAATGGGCAGGATTCGGTCACAATTGCATTTAAGCTTTTATGGTTGTTTCTGTTGAGAAGCATAGGATTCAGGGGCCCAGAATATCTTTTGTTGTTTTTTGCAGGAAGCCACAGCGGGGTGCTGTGGCAGCAGGATCTCACGATTAACTTTTAATTTCTTTGCTTTTGTTGGTCACTTAACATTATTTAAAGTGTGTTTTGGCTGGTGAAGAATGCTTTTGGATTTCATTCAGAAGGCATAAACAGCTGTAGTAAAACTTGCTCTCTTGGAAACGAGACCTAAGCAGAGTGGCCAGGTGATGCAGACATTGAGCAAATGAGCCCTTAGCTTTGCTGAGACCCAGGTTCAAATCCCACTCAGGTCACCCCTGACCTATGGAGCGTCAGTCTTGTTTTGAGTGCCAATTGCTTACGTTCTTGTCTGGACTTCCCCAAATCGTTTGGCATAGATCTCCTGCACTGGCAGCTCCTCCTCGAGGGAGGGCTGGTCCTGAAATAGCAGGTTGTAGCAGGTCAGTGCTGAAGCACGTTGTACAGATGAATGGGGGAAGTCACAAGTTTAGGAACACCTGCCAGCTCGAAGCCTGGCTCGGGCCAATGCAACGATTTCCTCACTTTTTCAGGCACTAAATTTGGTAGTGACAGGAAGACAGAAAAGTTTCTCTCCGTTTTTACAGGTCCTGGGTGTAGGCAGGTTTGGAGCTGCGTGCGCAAGGCTGTCCCGGCTCTGCATGCCGACAGACATCCTCCAGACCCTGTGGCGACTTTTGAGCTGGGCATCCTCCTACCCAGAGGGGGTTTCTCCTGTTTTCCTTTCTTCACGTGGAACTGGGTTCTAGATACTTCTTGGGGCCTGGGGAGTTCCATGTCCCCTTCTGTGAAGCCAAAATATCCTGGAGACATATTTTTTTTCTCCATTGTGTTGGCAAAGCAGCAGTCTCTGGATTGGTGTCCCAAGAATTTCGACAGAGGTTATGTCTTTTTGGTCCCTGACTTCTGATTACATCATTTCAAGTATATCAAGTATATCAAGTGCAATCATGTGACTAGCTTATTAGAAAGCTTCTACCCAAGCCTGCATCGAGACTGTCAGGATGGAGTCCTAACCTCCACAGGCCCACTGTGTGTTTCAGGAGTGACTTTATCCAGTGCACGGACATGAACAGCCTCTCTGGTGCGTCTCTTCCCTGGCCTGTCTGGGGTGCAGGACTCACTGGTGAACGCATGGCCACAGACAGGCATTTTCCATAAGCTCATGGCAACCAGTTCAACTCTCCTTCTTCTCCGGCAGGTTCATCAGCACCAGGACCGGGGAGAGACCTTTCAGTGCCAGCTGTGCCCTTTCACCTCCTCACGCCACTTCAGCCTGAAACTGCACATGCGTTGCCATCAGCACTTCCTGAGGACAGAGGCCAAGGTGAAGGAGGAGATCCCAGACCCAGATGTCAAGGGATCTCCCCACCTCAGTGACAGTGGCTGCCTGGGGCAGCAGAGGGAAGGAGGAGGGACAGAGCTAGTGGGGACCGTGATGACGTCTAATACTCCAGAGAGGACTGGCCAGGGTGGGGCTGGCATGGCACCTTTGCTGGTGAAGGAGGAACCCAAGGAAGATAACGGCCTGCCCGCCTCCTTTACCCTGAATGCTGCCGACAGGCCCGCCAACCACACAAAGCTGAAAGACCCCTCCGAGTTTGTGTCCAACAGTGCAGCAGCATTGTTCAGCCAGGACATCTCGGTTAAGATGGCCTCCGATTTTCTCATGAAGCTGTCAGGTACTTGCCCTAGGGTTGTTCTCTCCTTGCTCCTCTGTACGATAAGACTAGAGGGCTAGACGATTTCAAGCTTCCTCGAGCTCCAATACTTCATGCGCTGATATATTTTCTTTTTCCTTTCCTCTTTCCTTTTATCCCACCCCTTCCTTTTTTTTATGTTTTGTTTTGGTGATTCTTTGAAAACAGGCTTACTTTTGCTCAGGTCTGGAAACAATAGGGATTGCCCCTACTCCTGCCCAGATTTGGGCTCTTCCTTGGGGGCACTTGGTGGGGGGTAATCTATGTGTGTGTCTTTTGCTTCCTGCAACCTTGGGTCTGTGGTTGGCTTGCCTGCTTTGCGCTGTCTCTGAAGTGTGGGTCTCCCTTTTTGATGCTCAGGGTCTGTACTGTGGTAATCGCAAAGCTTTCTGAAGAACATATACAAAAGTTTATCATGAGGAATTGCAGACTTTTCTTAGACAAAGGTTAAAGGTTACCATGAGTTTCTCGGCATTTTTGTATTAGGGTAAAACATTCCTAGGATATCCTGGTTTACACATGTTTGTGCTGTGCATTTTCGTGGCATTAACATTTACCTTGTCGTGTAATCTCTGGAAATATGTCACGCTCCCAAACTGTACCATTAAAGGACAGAGTTCCTGCCAACCTGCTGCCCAGCCTCCACTAACCACCATTTTACCTTCTCCCTTTATGAACTTGACCGGTGTAAGCTCCTCAGGAAAGTGGAATTTAAGAAAAAAATTCAAACATCCTTCCCAGCTGCCCTCACCCTCATGCCCTTTGAACAGAGAGGCTGATGTATAGGTTATAAAAATAAGTCTTGCTAATAGACATTGTTTTCCGTCGCCGGTGACTTTGATGAGCTGGCGATGCTGCGCTGGGGTGGAGCGTAGCTGGATGTTTGTCTTACCCTGCTGGAGCAACAGCACACGTGGGCCTATGCTGGTTTTGAAAATGCGATTTTAAATTTTAAAGGCATTGCAGAGGGTGGAGAAAGGTCGGTTGAGAATGGGTTCTGTCTGTCAGGGAAGGTGGCAGGCCCCAGGATGATTTCCAAATGCCATTTCGGCTCTCTGGAGATTGACAATACCCTTTAAATGGAGAATAATTGGTCACCGCCTCCCTTTAAATGGACCATGCGTCGTATTTCACTAAATGTCATTGCCAGGTGAATGAGAGGCACAGCTTCACTCTGAAGTCCCTTTGCTCTGTGACACTTCAGTCGGGTCTTTTGGAATGTACTTCCTCACCCTGATCTTTGCCCCTCAGCCATGGGAGACCTGAGTAGGGGCGACAGAAGAGGGAAGCGATGAAAAATGAGACAGCCAGGAAATGATCCAAGATGGAAGGGAGCAGGGGAGGCTGAAGGATGCTCTGTGAGACTGCAGAAGATCCATTGCCTGGACCCGTCTCAGGCGTCTGTTTCATCTGGCCCAGGTTCCTGGTCGGTCCTCGCCTTCTTGTCTCTCCTTTTTCATGTCAGCCTCAGGGAAAGCAAAATGCTACATAGTCAGATTTTTGTATTTAAATTTTCACCAAAATATGAGGGAAATGGGCATTTCCCTGGGGCCTTCCAGATCCTTTAGCATGCCACCTGTAGGGACCCAGGCATGGTGGTGATTGCCTACAATCCCAAGACTTGGAAGAAGGCCAGACTAGGTTTTATTAAACCCTGTCTCCCTAAACTGTAACAACAATGAACGAACCAGCATGTTACCCATGGATTACCGCTTTTCTGGGCTTTTACGGTGCAAACCCAGGAGAAGGAAGCCACGTTCATTTAGCATAGTTTAGCATGGTAGATGTTTCCTTACTTAACAGACAAGAACAAGCTGAGCAGGGGGTGCATAGCATGTAGTAAGGTGGGGTCCCTTTCGTCGGGACCCAGATCCTTTCCAGGCTGCCTGGCAGGCTTGATCTTGGGCTGGGACACTGATGTCTGATACAGGGCTCCCGCTGGGTTCCTCTGAGCGGTAGCTCTTCCCATCCCACCAGACACCGGGCTGTGATTATTAGCTCCGACGCGTCTCGGCGAGCATGAGAAAAGGCTTCAGCTGCTTACAGCCAGAGCTTGGAACAGCAGAGGCAGAAGGAGAAGCAGTTTGTAGGCTGGGGTGAAGCACCGTGTGCCAAAGCTGCATATATATAGTGGTCTGTTGTTTTCAGTTGCTGATGGGGGGTTGCTTACAGTTTGGCCATGGGAGAATTTCCCGACTGATCAATTGGCATAAGAAAACAGATAGCAAAGGCACACTGTTTATGCAAAAGGCCCATGCAGCTATTTTATGGTGGCTTACTAGAGGTCCTGAAACCTGACTTGTATGCACTGTTACCTAGCAACCTGTTATAAAGTCACCAGGGAGCGAGATGCATCGGTAATTTTTTTGTGTGCATATTTGGATGTAAATGTAAACTTGGTGACTGTGGCAGTGCTGCCCACGGGAGGAGAAGTTATGTTAAAAGGAAAGGAATGTGTTTTTTTGCAGATCCCCCCCACACTGGCTGTGTGGTTGGTCTGGCCTGCTGCTGACTGCTGGACTTGTTGTGTGCTCTACCTGGCTCTCTTAGTGGCTACCATTCAGGGACACAATCCCAGGGAGCTGTGGCTGAGTTTCTAGCTCTCCTTGCCCTCAAACAGTGTGGCCTAGTGGTCAGCCCCAGGCCCTGTCCGTTGCTCTTATAATGGTGCCATTGTTCCTGCACGGTTCCCCCCTGGGGCTCTGTCCTCGCACCTGCTGGTACAATCGGGTGCAGCTGTTCCTGGGCACCCATCCTGGGAGTCTCTGTGTCCGTTCATGGTCTACAAAAACGGAGCACAGTTCAAGCGTGCAGACACTTACTTGTTTCCAAAGGAGAGAAAGAAAACCCCTGATGCTTTTTGCTCCTTCGGTTAAAATCAAGCATAAAACTCACTGAATGGAGCCCACTGAGGTTCACAATCACTGGGAAGGGTGCATTGCAGTTTTAAATACACGCTAACCCAGTGGTTCTCAATCTGTGGGTCATGACCCCTCCAAGGGTCACATAACAGATATCCTGTATATCAGATATTTATGTTATGATTCATAACAGTAACACAATTTCAGTTATGAAGTAGCAACTAAACAATTATATGTTTGGGGGTCACCGTAACATGAGGACCTGACTTAAAGGGTCACAGTGTTAGGAGGGTTGAGGACCATGGGCAATTCTCCCTCAATTTGGAGGTTTGCTGGTTATAGGCTTGTGGAATAAAATCCCTTCTCTGGACCTGCACCTGATTTCCCCAGTGAGGCCTGACAACATCCCTTAGTCCTTGAGGATAGTGTTTCCTAGATCCAGGCTCACCATCAAGGTTGATTCAGCCCAAATGCTGGCTTTCTGCATTGCTGGGGAAAAAATAATTTCGTAGACTTTTCTCGGGGTTTTGCCTGGGAGGCAGGCCTTTAGGGCTGTAGGTGGTTCTGCTGTTTACACAGCTCTTTCCTGGAAGCCCGAAGACGTATGCAAATTATCGGATAACAGGGTGACCTACCCCTGGTCACATGACTGGGCATGTTCCTCGGATAGGTGCTTGCCCAGGAAGCTATGGCTCCTGTTGACCCTGGGCCTGCCTCCTGTGGCCAGCAGCAGTTCCTAAGCTCCACGGCTAGCGAGCCCTACCTAGGGAGTTTCTGTAAAATACCAGAGCCCAAAAATAATGTTTTAATTAATTGGTCTGAGGTAGGCCCAGACGTTGGTATTTTCCTTACATTCCTCTGGCGATTCTAACAGGCACCCGGGACAAAGGTCAGCTGATAGGTGACAGGCAGTGGGCACTGTGGGCTGGAGACCCGGCACAGTCCGGAGATGGCTTGCCTCGCATGCACCAAGTCCCAGGTTGGATCTCCAGTACCACATAAACTGGAGAGAGTGATGCAGGCCTGTCATAGTCTAACACTAGGGAAGTGGAGGCCGGAGGCTCAGTTTACTTCACAGCTGTATAGAGAATTAGAAGCCAACCTGGACTAGAGGAGGAGTATTTCAAACAAGCCAAACAACCTCCCAAACAAGCAAACAAGCAACCCTAACTCGGTACTTGGTACAGTGTTTTTCAGTATAGATCAGAATCCCTGAGTATAGCTCAGCTTTCATTTTATCTGAGCCCATGAAAAGACATGCTGCTGTAAACTGAGTCTGAGACGCTACCTCATTATAGACCAAGGTTGATATGAAGGGGAAGCCGGCGTGAGTTGTGTTCATGAACCCTGTGGTTTTCTTCCAGAGGGTTCATGGCAAGAGATGTTGTCCAGTCTGAGAATCCCCAGAGTAGACTGGGAGCTTCCAAATTCTGGGGATTTCAGTCAAGTGTTTATCCGAGCACCCATGTAGGAGGCTGTAATCCCCCCGAGAAGGAGAGAGACAGGTGGGTTGCTGAGGTTCACTGGCCAGCCTGTCCTAAGTGTCAAGTCCTAAGTACAATGAGAGCCCTTGTCCTCAGACAACAAGGTGGATGGCTCCTAAAGGTTAACCTCTGACCTGTGCATGTACCTCTGCACCCCACACCAACACATGTGCACAGGAACACGTGTCCATAGAAAAGCTGTGCGCATCCTCATCAGAGGACCAAATTACAAGCTCCTGCAATAGCCTTACACCATCTCTTTTTCTTCAAGATGCCATTTTTCAAGATAGAAATTTAATTCTAACTCCCCAGATTATAACCAAGCAGCTAGTTGACAGAAACTTGGCACCTCACTTGTTGGCAAGGGATATCTTTTTGTCCCTGGCTTTCCAAAATAAAAGATATAAGTCATTTCAACTATTTTTAATCTAAAAACTGACAAAAAAAAAAAAAAAGTTTTGTACTGTCTCCCGCATCCTATTAGCTCTACACACCCGACACCAGAATACTTTTAAGGTCGGAAAGATGGACCTTCTGAAACACCGACTCACGCTCAGCCTCACAGAGGCAGCTGTGAACAGGCGCTTGCTCAAGTGTTTCTGGCTTAGGGGCCTCGGCCGTAAAACAGTGCGAGTTT